ACATATGATTCCTATTCGATGGAAAATTTAATGCAGTACAAGATTTTTTTTTTAATTGAAGCTGTACAAGAAATTATCTCGTTGTGCTACATGAAGGATTGCAAAAAGCACGAGTAATTTCATCTGTTTTGTATTGTATTAAGTTTATTAAAAAACTTCTTTTCACATATATGTCATTATTTGTTGTTCTAGATCATAACCCAAAAAAAAAATTAATAATCCATATAAGTACATAGCAGAAATGATACAATTGTATGTAAATCATAAATTAATCTTAAAACGTCATAATACCAGCACAAAAGCAAGAAGAACTTTGGTACTAATCTACTTACAAGTTAATAAGAGATTTTTCAAGACATCTGTCTGAGAGCTTAGAGGGCTAGAACTGAGATAGCACGGATACTCTCCTCTTCAGAATCTGTGGTCTGCGACTGCCGAGCAAGAATCAATCTCTCGCTCACCAACCGGAGAGCCCGCTGCCACCTGGTGTTGGCGCCGTTAGTGAATCCTGGTGGCTGGGAACTGAAGGTTATCTGGCCCATCTGAAAGATGAACAATCTGGAAGCATAGGCTGCATTGATGAAAACCTGATGAAGAGGTTTGAAAGTAGTGAAGATGAACTTGAGCAAAAAAGGGCCTACTAAGCTGGCCATTATTGGAGTGCTTAAGCACATGTGATGACCTGCGCTCAAGAGTTTGAGCTTTGCTACTACTACTAGAACCAAGTGAAACCCCATTATTGCAAGGCTTTTCAGCTAGGGATTTGGAGTTTAGGGAGGAATCTTGGAAACCCTAGTTTTGTTTGTAAGAGGGAGCTATCTTAGCTATGTCTGTGTCAAATAGAGAAATACGTAATGAAGCACGAATAAAGCACCCCAAAAAGAAAAAGAAATGAAGCGTAAGGCACTGATTTGTTAGGCGAGAGAAAGAAAGAACAGCAAGGGAATTTATTTTAGGTATAATTTCAGAAACTTCCCATGAGGTTTCGAACAATTGTGGCCACCTCCCCTAAGATTTGAAAATGGCACTTATCTCTCTTGATATTATGAAAAGACAATGATAGCCTTTACAAACTTTAAAAATATTAAGTGAAAATAGGTTTTTAAAAAAAACAATAATTCCTTTTTGGCAATGCTTCTTGATCCTAAAACTCTAATGTCATCTAATTTAGTACATTACACTTTATTTCTAATTTTTGACTAGATTTATTAATCAATTTACAACAAGTCAACCACCCAATTAGAGAGGCATTTGTTAAAATAAGTATCTTCAAAAAGTACTTAACTAAAAAATATGTCTAAAGTATCAAAAAAGAATGCTTTCAAAATATGGCTTAAATTTTCCTGCAAAAAATTAACTTGAAATTTTCACCCAATAGATAACGGTGATAATAATTGACTTTTTAGTATTTAATTTGTTTTACATATTAGAGAGGAGTAACATTGAACATTCATTGTTTTTTTTATATCATCAATTGTTACCAAAGTATACTTTCTAGGGAAGGTTTCTGTAATTATTCAAATTTCAAGAGAGGTGAATGCAATTATCAAAAACCTTAAGGAAGGTTACTGAAATTATCCTTTTATTCAATGATTCTCTTGTAATTAGAGCATTTGCATACCACAAATGGAGAAAATTAGTGAAACCAAAACACACAAAATTTGGTTGACTTAGCTTTGTACCCTTCAACTGTACCGGAAATTCTCATTTTGGTGCCTAAATTTTAAATGAGACACTTTAATCCTTAAAATGTAGAAATTATCCCACTAAAGTTAGATAGATATTATATTTGAGTAGGACAAATTTTATAATTAGGGACTAAAGCGAGATAAATTTTTATACCTTAAGAACTAAAGTGGGATAAATTTTATATTTTAAAAACTAAAGTGTCCTATTTTAAAATTTAAGGATCGATGAAGGAATTTGACTATAATTGAAGGAAGCAAAGTGAAATTTATCCCAAAAAATCAGAATCAGTAGAATGTAAAGGATGGAGTTTGGGGGCTCCTGACACCGTTTTGATTTGGTATGGATGTGGTCCTCTATTTTGGAGATTGTACGAGATGAAAATTTTCTAGCTAAACCTTGACGACAGAACTAGTTTTGTATGGCCTAGTCTGGTGAGGTACTTGGACAGCAAAAAGAACAAGCAGGACGATTGCTTGGACTCAATCAAGCTTTTCTTTTTCTGAGAATACGATATTCAAAATGCGAGCCCCCCCAAAAAAAAAAAAAATCTGAACAAACAGTTCTGCAATAAAATCCCATTTGTGTCACTAAAGTAAAGGTGCTCCTTCCCACCAGAAGTAACTAAATAAAAAATTAGCAGAATAGTTTGAGGAAAGATTTTAAACGGAATTAGTTCCCTTTAATTAGTATCAACGTAGAAATTGGTTAAAAATCGAAGCAGCCCGAATTCTCCAGTCTAAACAGTTAGACAAAATTGATTTTGGCAGCTAAAACAGACTACAGGTCTGAAAACCCTGGTGGAAATAATCATGATTATCAATGGAGTCGGATATCTTCGCAATCTTGCTAGACTTAAACTTGCAGTTCTAATGCTTAAAAGTGTGTCAGAAACATTCTTCTTTAGGTGGAACATGCTCACCTAGGAAAAATTTTGTTTGAAGCAACTTCTAACTTTTAAACGCAATTCTTGTTTTGATGTTTTAGATTCTTAAATCCTCCAGCCTGGAGTACTTTAGAGACAGACTCTCAGTTACTTGTTTCCTCATAGCATCTACGCTTGTTTTTCATCAAAAGATGGATATGCTTAGATGCCGGAAGGAAATAGAAAACAAATTTTGTTCTTGAGAATCTTTTCCCTTGGTTTAGAAACTAAAAGGATGGTCTTTGTATCAGAGTAATTTTGTAGAAAAGGCTGAAAAAGAAGGTAGAAGAAAGACAAAATTGAAAGTTTTTTTCTTTCTGTGAAAAATTACAAAAGGCATATCCTAAATCAGGTAAACAATTTCTATTATTCTCAATTTAATATTTAAAAGTTATAATTTTAGTTGAAAATCATGAAATTTTCCTAAACAATCATAACTACAATACATCTTTACTAATTATTGTTTGCAACTTATAATTATTTTTGCTAACACACCTTGACTGGAATGCATAGGAGGCATTTGTGGAACAAAATTTTCATCTCTCTCTTGGAAGTAATTTTTTAATCATGCTTTTTTAGAGATTGACTGATTTTGTTACCAAATCATAAACCTCAAGGTCGGTTAGTGTAAGTTTTAAATCTCAGAGGAGGCTAGTGTAATTGTTAGAAATCTTAGGGGAGATTTCTAAAATTACCCTGATTATTTAGTGGCAATGGATCAAAATGAAATGAAAGGGCTACAAGTTTAGTGCAATTGTTGAAATATGAGTTGAAGGCCACATGTAACTGTGAACGGAATTTGGAGAGATTTGTGTGCCGGACAAGTGAGTGACAACCTCGACCTTGTCATTGCAAATCACGACAATTGGTGGGGGCAGTTAGATATGGCTGTAAGCCGTGCAGACGAAATTTCTCTGAAACTTCCTTCTTTTCCTAGACTTCGGACTTTTCTGTGACAATCATGCAGGAAAAAACATGCATTGATAGACGAGCTGCGCCAGATCGAGAGATGATGATATTTGGCTCCACTCTCCGACAGGCGAGTTTTCCCGTTTTGATTATCATGGACATTGGATTTTTGTCCATCTTCGGGACTAGCATCATGCGCATCTTAATAAAGAAAAGAACCATCCTATTATTCAAGTTCTAAGTACGGTATTCTATCCCATACTAACGTAATAGAAACACCATTGAATTGATAGCTTCATGCATTCTTCCAAAAAAGAGCTTCTTTGCTACTTTCCATCGCTTTGGCTGTCAATGTACAGCTTACCTCTATTCCATGAAAATGCATGCTAACTTTAAGTAGCTTACCTTTATTCCATGCAAATGCGTGTCAACTTTTCGTCTTTTTACCCTTTATAGATGGTTCAGGTTCTTACGCGCATTACACCTTAGGAATGCAGGAGTTAAAAAACTCGAAACAATTGAGACTCGTGCTGTCAAGAAAACAATTAATTTGTTCGGATAGTGAATTATTTGTCAAAATTTATTTGTTTGCATTATCGACACATTTTTCAATTTTTATTTTATCTAAAATATATTACAATCAAATCATTATTTTTTAAAAAATTGAATTCGTGAAACATGACAAATAAATTCGGACGGAAGAGTAGTATTTTTTTTTCTTCAAAAAAAATTATTCCAAATAATCTATCATTCGAGCATGCTCATGACAAGGGCCCAACATTGATGAGAGCATGTGTCAGATCACACTTAAAATAGGCTACTTGTTTTATTTATTGACAAGTGAGCCGATGACAGCGTGTGAAGGGCCCAGCGTTTTGCATCGGTGGGCTTCAACAATCAAATAAATGGGCTTTTACATCTTCAACCTGGTGAGCGACGTCCAACCTTTTTTCACATAGGGACCATTCCAGCCACTTATTAGGACAAAAATGATGAAATGAAACGATTAACGTTGATGTCAACTTTAAAGGTTACGAGAAAACTCTTATGTTTACAACATTAAATTTCTACAAATAATTAAACCAAGATAAATGTTAAGATTTTCAAGTATTTTATAATATTCTCATATTATGTAAATTAAACTTATGACAAAATGAATATACTAATGAAAAAAAAAATCAGTCACCAACTAAGTGGTGACGGGGTAGGTGTTGATGGTAACCTCAACAAGGTGCTGGTTCAATGGAAAAGGTCGGTTTACAAATCAGGCCCAACTTTGCTCAAATGTCAATCAGAGATCCACAACCCAACGGAGGCAGTTTGTCAAAAGTATGACTTTGGGCTGAGAAGAAAACATGAAGCGGGTTAACTCAAGGCCCAAAGTACTAAAGTAGCTTGACAAGTGATCTAGGCCGGGTAACCTGACGCCCACGAAAGTTACAAGTTGCTGAAGCCAAACAGTCCCTTAAATGGGATTCTCACAGTGTTCTTCAAGCTTTGAACAGTTTCAGAGTTCGGAGAGAGGCTTTGCCAACTCCGTCTAAAACCCCTTTATGAAAATTTTCATCTTCCTAAACCCTAATCCCTAATTGTTATTAGTGTTGCTGTTATTGTTATCTGTTTTGGTGGATTATTATAATTCAAAATAGCAATGAAGGAGGAAGTAAAAGGAGGAGGAGGAGCCCCAAACAGAGAACTTTATGCACTGCTGAATGTATCACCAGAAGCCTCAGATGAGGAAATTAGAAAAGCTTATCGTCAATGGGCTCAAGTCTATCACCCTGATAAATATCAGGCTGCTCAAGTACTCCATCATCCCAATTTTTTTCCCTTTTTGGGTTGCGTTACTTGGGATATTGTGTTCCAATTAAGAATTTCCATAAATCATTTCTTGAATAGATTGTTCCTGTTAAATATCAATCTCCTTAAGTTGTAACATCCCTTTTCGTATTGCTACTTTATTCGCTAGTTTAATTTCATCTACAATATTTTGTTGGGGAAAACCTTAAGATTTTGTTATGCATTGTGGAGTATGTGAATGAGAATTCCAAATTTGGGCGTGGTATTCTTTTATCGAACATTATGCATTATCTTGGTAAATGTTGTTGGATTTTAAGCTGGTCTACCAGTTGACTGTGACTGGGTCTGGGACTTGATTATTGGTATGTTATATTGCATTCGATACTTAGTAGTTTTTTTTCTTAACATTCTTCAAATAGATCATATTAGTAAAGGTTCTACCAATTTGAGAGAATTGTGAACCTGGCTAGCTCATGTATCGGTATCAAAACTGCATCCTATAAAATGCTCGAAATGCAATATGTGCATCGACAGCTGATGGGCAGATTGTTTGCTTGTTATTTATTCTTTTATTTCAATCTGGTATGGGGATTGGGCTAGGGAACTGCATTAGCGTGGGACCTTAGCTAGTTCCGCCTTTTGTACAAAATTAGTTGAAGAAAGGATTTTTTGGATTCTTAGTGTTCGGGAAAAAGAATCTAAACTAATTTGTGCTTAAACCTTTGCAGATGAAAGATATTGCAACAGAGAACTTCCAGCGTATATGTGAAGCCTATGAAATTTTATCAGACGAGCACAAGAGGCTGATATATGATATATATGGCATGGAAGGACTAACTTCTGGTTTGGAACTTGGTCCAAACCTAAATAAGGCGCAAGAAATTAAAGAAGAACTTGAGAGACTGCGGCGTCAGAAAGAACAAGAAAAGGTCTCATCACATGTTCGACCTTCTGGTTCAGTTATGGCAAATCTGTCTTTGCCACAATTTTTGGAGGGTGATGGCATTATGAGAGGGTACAGCTCATGCTGCTTTACATTTTTATACTTATCTCAAGTTTATCCAAATTGCTAGTTCATTTTTCTGCCAAAAAAGGAAAAAAAATACTATCACTTTATCTTCTCTCTTTTCTGCTAATTTTGTGATTAATGATGCCATTTTTTGTATCTCTGAATTAAGAAATCTATGCGATTCTACTAAAGCTTTATATAATAGCTGGCTTCCCAAATTCTTGCTCCAGTAAGTAGGAAAGTATTATGCGTTTCTCATGTTGGGTGTTGGTGCCAGACTTCTAATTCATTACAAATTCATTAAGAAATGTCCTCATATTATCAACTTAACCCTACTCATGACTTCATCAGCTGACAACAGTGATGGAAAGCATGTATTGAAGTTGTGGAACAAAACAATCTTGCACTGCCATGTTCCTATCATCTCATGTTACTATTGGTATTGATAATGCAGGATGGCTATGGCAAGTGAAGTTCAGTCTCAATTATCTGAACGGAGTGGTATTGCTCTCGCTGGGAACCTGGCAGTTGATGGGAGTTCTGGTGGTGGCGTTGCCTCTATTGTCTTTAGACATCATATATCTCCCGCATCTTCCGTTGAGTTTATGGGTTCTGCTGGGTTACGGGCATTAATAGGGGTACAAACTTCTCGGTAGGAAGGTTCACTATTGGTTTCCTGCTATATTTTTTGTTCCCTTACATGTAACTTAGTTGGATTAACTTGTTCTTTCTACTGTCTTTAGTCAACTATCCCAACACTCTTCTGCTACAATGGGCCTTGCCATGTCTTTAAAAGATGGTTCAATTAATCTTTCCAACAATTGGACACGGCAACTCTCAGAGACAACTAATGGAAATGTAAATTTTCCTCATATTGATTCTTCTCTTCTTCTTCTTAATTTTTTTTGGGCCAAATTCACTATTAGTTTTGTGGTTTTGCTTTATTTTAGATACAACTTGCATTAGGGACAGACACATCTATTGGCGTTGGCTGGCAAAAGAAGGATCAAAAAATGTCTGCTGCTGGGGATATCAAGGTATGGCTCTGTAAGGGCAGCCTGGCTCGTAATGCAGTTATAGTTTAACCAGCTAATGTTTCTCTTTCCTATGAGTAAATACATATCAGGACACTCAGCATTGTATCTTTGAGTGAATAATAATGAGTCTATTAGTAGTAAAATGCATACGGAAGTTAGGATTTCAGATTATTCATTTAATATCATAGATATTTTGGAAAACAAATTTTTATCAAGTCAAATTTCTTTTCATTTGCAGAAAAGAAGCTTCACGAGTAATGATTTCACCTTATTTTATGTTTGAATTATTTTTGCATCTAGTATATTTACATCTAGTAAGTTCAAGCTTCAAATATGGAACACCAATGTTGGTGTATTCTCCCTCTCTTTTGAATCTTCTTTCCTATACCTTCCCTGTTATATACCTTAGATGTTCTATCACTAATCATTTTCAACATATTGTAGATTGGTCCAGGTGCAGTTGGCTTAACAGCTCATTATACACATCGCTTCTCCTCAAACTCCCATGGGCGCGTTGGAGGAAGATTTGGAAGGTCTGTGTATTATTAAACATTGTTAGTTTTGCATCTTTAATTTGCCTAAAGTTTTCTGGAATCTGAGCATGAGCCTCATATAGATATAGTCGAGAGATAGCTTGAATACGTAAGTGCTAGTCAAATAGTGCCTTAAACATGCAAGATCAATGAGTTCTCCCTCTCCCTGTCTTTGTGTGTGTCTATGTTTGGTGGTGTGTATTTATGTCTTTGGGTCTTTGTCGTAATAATGATACTTCGAAGTGATACCTCTTCTGCATTTGTTTTGAGCTGCAAAATTTTTGGTTGAGACCCGGTGTATGGGAAACCAGTGAATCATTAATGTCCACTTTATTGAACTTTTGCAATTGCTATCATTCGTCTTCATAGTTCTTCTTCTTCTTTTTTAAAGCGCTTAGAACTACCTGAAATTTGGAATTTGCTCCTAAATGCCGTTATGAAAGAATTCTGCAGTTTGAAAAAGTAACCTGTTCAGTTATAGGTTATAACTAACTAGTTGAGCATGAATTGTGAATATCTTCCAGGTTACATTGTATTATCTGCATCTTCCAGAGGGTTTGTAACGTTTTTGCTTTGTAATTGCAGACCTACATTGTGAAACCTTATAATCTGAAACGTGAGAAAAAGAAGTCGTTGGAGAATGCTGAGAAAACTCTATCCCAGGTATTCTACATACTTTCTAGTGCTGGTCTTTCCTTCTGATTATATAATCTCCACTTGGTTGAACCATACATAGATTGCTTGTCTAGAAGCTTATTGCCACCATTCTCTGCATAATGTATGCTATCTTCTGTCTATATCAAGGGTTTCCTTTTGAATGCTTATTGTGACAAAACTAGGGTTCTAATGGACTGGACCTGTTAAGGTTATCTAAAAAGAACAGAATATGACTGGCATGGATATTGGACAAAATGAATGAAATTATCAACTGATGCATTAGCAATTGTATTCACTTTTGTTGCCTAATTTTCCTTTATATCTCAAATTGAAACTTCCTTAATTCTATGTTTCTCCTTTTACTTCTTTTTGTTCTGCATAGGTTCGTGAGTCAAGGGCCACTGCTGAAAAAGCTCAAAAGTTGTTGCAAAATGTGGCCAATAGGAAAAGGAGTAGACAACTCGAAACTGGCGGACTTGTGGTCACAAAAGCAACTTATGGAAGTCGTAAAGCTCTGAGAAATAGAAGTGAATCTGAAGAAGCAAAAGATGAAGCTACCTCCCAAATCATCGATGTTACTCTACCTCTAAATTTCCTGGTTAATGAGTCAGGGCAACTTAAGGTGTGCTTCCTCTTTAAATTTTTTCAACAGGGTTATGTTGAAGTCGGTGCTTCTGGAAGCATCTTCATCTAATTTGTGAATACCAATTATATTCCTGTTTCGGATGAGGATATTTTTCTGAGATCACATGAATTGGACCTTTTCAGCTTTGATTATTGACTTGAAAAATGTTGGTGCAGCTACATGGGGGTGTAAAAAAATCCGGAATTATGGGCTTTTGTGATCCTTGTCCAGGAGAACCTAAGCAGTTGTACATAGAGTACACCTATGGTGGCAATAAATACGAGGTAAAACCCAAGCCCTCTTCCATCAGCTTTCACTATATTTACTTGATGACTAGAATTACTTTTGTCTGCAACAGGTTACTGTTGATGACTATGAGGAGCTGGTGATCCCCAAGGAAGCACACAGAATATAAACGTCCATGAAATCAGTCAGATCCTTGGCCCCATGATGAAGACTTGTAAAACTTTGGGACCTCTTCACTTTTCCAAGTCTTAAACGGCCCTTTTAAGTCATATGATTCCTTTTATGGTGCGTTCCTTGGAAAAGAGGAAAAGGGAAGGATTTTTTCAAGATAGTTTGTATCAGAATTCCCTTGTGCCTCCATAAGAATTTGGTGTCGCTAGGAGAACAAGTGATGGCATGTCTTGTGGTGCTTCTGGATAAATATCCGAAGCCATTCTATCTTCTCTTTTTGCTTTCCCGGTCATTTTGGGAACTAACTACAGACAGAGGTAAGGTCATTCAATCAAGATTTAGCCCCCCCCTCAGTTCAGTTTAGTTGCCATATTACACTCAACAGACAGTTACTGCCTATGTGGTGGACTATGGAAACTTTCATCAAGCATTTTGATTCTTGCTTTGCAGCCAGGAATCAGATGGGTTCTGGATGCCAACTCTTAGACTTAGTCTTTTGGCATCTTGATTGGCATTTTGTAGATACCATAAGGATACCAATTTTGTAATGTCCAGTAGGATAAGAGTTTTTGTATGTATCAGTTCACGGGATATTTACCCGTTGCAGTGAACTTATACACTCATATTTATTTGAGAGGGGGAAAAAAAATGGTAAAGGAATGTCCTAATCAATGAAAGTTCAATCTTTCTCACCTCGCAGTTACATCAAGGAAATCATGAGGATAAAAAGGCATGGACAGTAACAGATTGCCAGTTCCTGAATTAGAAAAATACATACTTAATATTGAGGTCACCACTTGACGGATCAAATGATGCTTTGATTTCTATAGAGGAACAATCAGCAAGAGTCAATCCTTGGCTTCCAGCAGCTACAGGCTTATTCAGAAGTTTCACTGCTTGCTTCCAATATCTTTTATCTGAAAGGCACAATCAACTTAACAAGGAGCTCCTATTGTGCTACTCATATGTGATGATGACAGTGAAGAGGTTTTGTCAACAATAATGAAGCTAATAAGCGAATCTTAATACTACATAAATACAATTAGAGAAAAGAAGCAAGATAGCCCCTTGATAACAGTAATACGCACCTGGTCCGGTTGACAACTCAGTGGATGAATCCATCATCCAATCAATCCAAAGTACAAATCCATGACAAATCCCAGATTCTGTAAATTCAACCTGTAAATCTACTCTTAGTATTCGCATCACAGTAGGTCATTTTTCAAGAGAATATTATTAAGAGCCCCAGTGTTAGTGCAGCTTTGCATGCTTAGATCAGCATATGATACCTGAGCTGTCCCAGCGCATGAACTGATTGGTTTCAAGAAATCAAATTCCATAATAGAGACGGTATCACTGAGTCTCTGAAACGAGTTAAAAAGTATTTCAACAGTAAGAGGTGTACTTCAAACCAGGAAAACTTTTCTCTAACATAATATTCACTTTTCCTGAGCACCATATAGAGTACCTTGCTTTCCCCACACTGCCATATAGGAAAGGGTAGACAAGGACCTTCTTCATCTGCGGGTAAGTCTCCACATGCCCCTAAAGTAGAATTGGCAACTGAATGATCAAAGCCTTCAATCTCTTGCAGGCAGCGGTGACTTCTCCAAAAATCCTGATTAATAAGTTGGTGTCCCCACGCCATTAATACAAAATACCAAAAAAGTAAATAAAGTGGCAGCTACTAGCAGTTCTGTCTTACAGGAAGAGACATTGCACAAGCCCTCAATATACCCTTACAAGGCACTATCAGCACGTCTTTTGATAGGACAGAATCAAGCATTGTTCGCTCCTTCCTGCAAATCACATCAGTTCATGAAAAACTAGAGATAAACTCCTCAAACTACGAGTACAGACGTCAGTAAGAAAACATAATGTGATGGTTAAATTAAATCTGCAGACTTAGTGTTGCAAAATCACCATGTCCACACAGTTCAGACACTAAAAGCAAAGCAGCAAGTACGTAAGTATGCATACGAGAGAAACAGAGAGAGAGGTGGAGAGAGGGGGAGGTGCAGAGCGAGAGAGAGCACCAAAAATTGATCCAAGAGTGGCATTCAAAAGTGCATGATGGTCTCTGCCTGTATTATACTATTTTAGCAGGTACAGAAATTGTCTAGGAGTAATTTAGCCAAACCATACAGTTTTAACAAATGAAAAAATGTGAAATCAAGAGCATCCTTTATTATTTGCTAATATTGTGAAACCATACAGTTCTAAATTATTATTTGCTAATATTTGTTTTGTTTCATCAATTAATTGGAAACAGAAAATTGTCATAATGTTCAAGACATAAACATGCTGTCAAGGTGATATTTCAAGTTATTACCAGAGAATTCAACATTTCAGGTCAAGAGAAGAGATATAAGTTTTCTTTCGGTCCATGATTAACAAATGCACATGAGCAAACACCTCAATTACCAAAATCGCAAGTTTCGCCAAGGAAGCACATTCTCATTTCCATAATAGAAAGGTTCTCCAACAAAAAGGCCAACCTGCAGAGAGGGGATATGAATGAAACTGTAATATTCAAGCAGTAAAGAGAATCACGAAGTGAAATTATAAGATATAAAGGTTAAAAAGCCAACATGAATCTCAATTTATGTCAGACCGAACAAAACATTCCAATATAAAAAAAAAGCCCATCGTCAGGTAAAATTTATCCCAAACCTTTGTTTGATGCGTATCTTCCATTGTCAATTGCTGGTTCCTTGTCCTCAGAACTTCTAAACGATCCATTGAGTAAAGATTTGAAGAAGCAACGGCTTGCAAATAGTGGGTCCCCTTCTCTCGCAGTCCAGGGAACAAAGCTATAACATGTGCTGATTTAGAAAGACTGGCAATAGCAATTGGCAGGAAAAGACTGTCATCCACAACAATGCACATGGGAGAAACTTTCTGCTTCAACTGCAGTAAACAAGTCAATGACAAGTAAACAAATCAAATATTTGAACAGGTGATAGGTAAAGACCTTGTTATTCTTCAGAATTTAAGAAAAACTCAAGTGAAGTTGTAAATCACTGGATGAAGCTAACATGATTAGCGGTCTTAATGGTTGGAGAATTGCTTTAAAAAAGATATAAAGACTCGCAGTCGCAGAGTTAAAGTACTAGGAGCATAGGAAGCACGGTTGTCTTCATATAAATGCTTCCATGTATAAACCAGTGGCGTATAGGGGGCACTTTTATGTTCCTAAATATGCTTCAATTTATGAAGTTCAAGGGTAAAATGAACCTTTTCCACGGGAAACCTTTTATCAAAATATCCAAATTCTCTAGCACTTTTTTAGGGGAACCTAGTCGACTTAATTTCATCAAGCAGGTAAACCAAGAGAAATAATTAATCAGCCAAGTGAAATACAAGTAACTCACAGCATTCTTAATCACATTAAACATTGACAATCGCCAATTACAATCTCCATATATCGCAATTTGCTCCGGTGTTAGAAATATCTGATTATCTCGTGGAGAAGGGTCGCAATGTCCCCCATCTTCTTTCTCCAATGAAGTCTTAACTCTGTATGAGATACTAGTTTTCGTATGTCTAGCACCTATAAAAACCTCTTGATGCTTGCACACAGTCATACCTTTCTCTGGTAGGAACCAAATGCACTGTTTCCAGTGGTCACACCAATTTCCCATACCTAAGAAGGCATTAAGTTAGACAGAATTATAATTTGAATAGAAAATAAAGTCAGATCAGCAGACCAGAATACCTAAAACATGGGAGACAGATCAGAAAAATGCTGCAGTATTTAGTCGTTAAAGTTTATGGAGAAGCAATTCCTTTGAGCCATGGGCTACAGGCAGCATCAAGAATTTGTGCTCCTCGACAGAAATTAATCTATTTCAGTGCAGACATAAATTGTCCCAGACCTACTTTCATCACCATTTTCTTTTGTATTATCCCAATTTTAATCCTACCTAAAAGCCGTCATTGCATCTGTTTGTGCCATATTCATCTACAGTTCAAATAAGTTTAGATTGCAAAATTTTGAAAAAATTAAGAAACCATTAGGAAAAGCAAATACTGTTGCCAAAAGATGGATCTCCAGTAAGACAACTGTATTCTAGGCAACAAAGTATAAAACTTCCGTTTGTAATGTGAAATAGTTTACAAACTGTCCTCAAAGTTTGTCCTCAGTTGGATTAACAGGAAAAGGCCCAATCACTTTTTAACAGATTGCTAATTTCTGATGACTCCCAATGACACATTGATTACTGCTTACAGGTGAAAATTAATTAGTGATGAGAGGAGAAAATCAACAGATGTTGCATCTTACCGGGGAAGAATGATTTGGATTGATCACTAATCCATTTTGGTCCAGTACAATAAAAAATTGTTCCTTCATTGTCAAGTTGAAGCAACCACCTGACAGAAAAACTGAAAATTAAAATCCTTAACAGAAATACAGAGAAAAGGGGTTATTGTTGTTTCGACATATTACCATGAGACAATAGCATGAATTGTACCATCATTAGTAGCTTTTATGCAGACCTCGGTTTTTCTATTGCTTTCTGGCCTTTTCCAAAATTCAAAATCAAAAACTTTGAATGGTTCTGAAAGCTGAATAAAATGTTAAAACAGGGTTTAAATAACAGAGATTTTCATTTTTAAGAACAGTCCCAAGTGTTATCATTACCAGTTTAAATTCTTCTTTCATTGCATCACAATGCATGGCAAACTGCTGCTCTTTAATTTGTAAGATTGAATGCACTCCATTTGGAACAAGATAGACACCATCCAATGCTTTGGCCTCATTGTTAATCAAGTCATGAAGCTTCCGCAAGTATGGGCTTTCAACAAGCTGAAAGGGAAGCAGTGAAAGAAAGGATGAACAGCATTTATCATTTTTAGATGCAAATATCAGAAAACTCCTGTCAATCTTAAGTATGACTAAGTGATGACACAGATATTAAGTTATAGCTCATCCATATACGAAAAGTTGTAGAAAGGAGACCTTTGCTCTCAGTATACAAACCCAAGAGCCAGATTGTCTATCAGAAGCAAAAGATTAGGACTTATGCTAGCCTATAGTACAAGTAGTTTTTTCTTAACTGACATGACACTGGGGAAGGTTGCAGAATGCATTTGGAACCATAATTTGTCTAAGTTGTACTTGTGTGCAACACCCCATTACAATCCCAGTCTTAATGGAGAATGCGGTGAATCAGAAGTAAATCCTAGTCAACACAAAACAGCTTTTCTTGCGAGCTGAGTCATTTCTCCATGGGTTTGGAGACCATCAAGTTCTTAAACCTAGTATGAGGATTTCAATATTCAAAGAAGATTGGCTTAGTCTCTTAAGAATTAAGTTTCTTTATTCTTGTATACTCTTCCTCCTTTTAGTCCCCGTCTTTATCTTGCAGTAGTAGTTGTCATCTTGCCCATTCTTCTATTGCCAATCCTGCAGCCTTACAAATCATGGATTAGCTTGTACTCAGTCATCAGAAATATACTTGTTAAAACTATTTTTTTTTGCATCTTCGGAGGATATTTTTTGAGGCACACCACACTTTTGTTCATCATACAGCTAACCATAATTCTGTTAATGGCTTTTACTTTCCAATTTGCAAGTGGGCACAATGCCAGAAACCATTTTCTCAAAATGAATTTTCCTCAATTTTGAGAAGTTTGAGATACACAAATCAAGGTAATGGTCTAAGAATCATCCTCTTAAATCAACAGATTTTGTAAACAATGATTCTAGTCAGAGAAAAGATGCTGGCTGATCTAAAGAAATGCCAAAACAGAACGATAAGGTCAAGAGATAAACAATGAAAATCCTGATCAAAGTTCTACATATTGGTTCAGGATATAAATGTTTCCAACATTCATATTGAGTAAGGCACAATCAAGTGGTGTTTCTCCATGGTTTCATTGAGATCAAAGGGAAGTAAATGTACTTGATGGACCATGATGATAACCAACTGTAGCACATTACTTTTACATAAAAAAAAATACCAAAATAACTGCATATAACCAACTGTAGCACACTACTTTTACATAAAAAATACCAAAATAACTGCATCTTTCTTTCCTGCTAATCATACTGCTTGAACAAAATGCCGTGCTTTCACAAGATTCCCTAAGGAGCTTAAACGAAGATAGGATTATGACCCAAAGATTTTACTCCAATTAGATAAAATTCAAATGACTAAATGGGTTCAATATGGAAAATCACCTGGCCATAAGTTGTCGCACGGTATGGTACAGTTTGCGGATTTTCCACCAAGAGATTATCATGAGCATGCTGTAAAGTGGGAATCAGCCCTTCACCCAACAACTCCGAGTCTAGAATTTCACTGACCTGTAATAGCATGATAAGTAATAAACAAACAAATATATATTATACAACATATCTTAATAGCATGAGATAGAGAATCAAGTGAACTAAATACTAATTAGTACTTACTGAATACACCAACTGAAAATCTTTTAAAAGGATTTTGTGATAATGCACAAGAAGATTAGCTCTCTGCAAACTACTTTGACTTTGACATGCATTAATTTTATATTATAATGGGTGCATTTAGTGGAATATTAAGCTTAACGGGTCATTATTTCAACTTATAGCCTTGTTTCCAGGTTAACAGCAGCAGTTAGCTATTAAAAATGATTATGTAACACGCAAAATAGATTATACAAGAAGCTTAATTCAGCTGTCTCACCCAAGACATTCTTCGAACAGAAATAGTCAGCCACAATAGCCGGCAACTCTACAATGTTATTTTGGTCAATTAGATTAAACTGATGTGCTCTCGATCTTCTGTAGTCCATTGCATTTGCAAATGAAAAAGAAAGAAGGTACCACAGAAGTTCTGCTTTTTCAAATGTGCCTCCCATTTGATGCATATCTATTTACCCAACAAAAAATGCAGGGGAACAGCAGCTCTGATGAAATAACATTGGCAGAAGTCTGATGAAGAATTCGTAATGTTACTTATTCAGGGAGAGAGTCGAGCCTCAAATCCACTGGACTCATCACTAAAAGAATCATAAAAAACTACGGAAAAGAACCGAAATGGTTTACTTCAACAAAAGGTAACAGTTTTGGCAATGCAGCTTCTGGGCCTCACTTGTCTGGCCCCACAAATACTTAAAAGAAGCAGAGAGTGAAAAAAAGGGAAAAAAAGAAGATTGACGTTGAACAATAACCAGCTTCTTAGAAAAAGTTCAAGAAAGTTATGTATTTTGACAAGCCTAAGCTACTGCTTAATCTAAAATAGAGCTAGTCAATAAGGTAGCAATTTCCATATTCACATTTGCAGTTAATGACAAAATTTCATTACTTAACAGTTACCCTTTCCTGATTAACTATAGCTGTAACCTTCTTCTGTCATAATATTTAAAACTTGTGTGTGCGATATCATCACTTACAAGAACATCAGCACGTGAACTCATATCAATGCCAACTTCTAATTCATCAGATCTCTTGTTGATGACACGTACTTTCTTGTCCATTCCATTTGCTCGTAACACTTTGCGCATCAATTTTACCATGGGAAGGTATGATTCACAGGCTGTTACCTTTCCTTTTGGACAATAACTCGTGGATGAATCATCAAGACCCATCGCCCTAGCAGCCATCATTGACAATAAACCAGTCCCAGCACTGAAAGCAAAATATTGGGTTCACAATATATAAGACAGTAAATTAAAAAAAAAAGAGCAAAGACATTTCAATCCTTCAATAGGTAACGATGTAGCCAATCTGATAGAAAACTCGCAAGCACATGTAACCACAAATGTTGTCAAAAGAATAACATCAATACCAGCAAAAGTTCTGAACCCTCTACCTAAGATGCACCTTAGAATACTATGCTAACAAAGAAATGCTATATCTTCCAAATTTTTATTTCTCATAAAAATTCCAACTATCAAACAATGCTTTCTTTCTCCCGTTTTTTACCTTAACAAAATGCTGGTATGGATAGCATTAACGTTATAAATGAATGTAAATTATGCAAGAGACACTAAAGCAACACTAAAGCAATTGTAAACAATTGCAAGAGACACTAAAGCAATTGTAGAACTCTCATAAATATAGTACCTTGTTTTCTTCCAAGTCTATAGTCCTAAGTCCTTGGCTTCTACATTAATTAGTAGAAGTCTAATCTTTCACATCCCTGACATGCTTGATCATTTTTTATACATGGAATTTTCATTGATCACAACTTTCAATTATCCTTGACTAGTACCAAGCAAACTTCTGTTAGTCAAAAGTTAAAAGTGAAAAAAACTTGCAGATATAAATTACCCAATATCAAGTACATGGCAAGGCTTAGTAATGGTCTTATCAATGGCTTGACGAAATGCTCTGTTTCTGTGAGAATCATTGAGCATGTCAAGATAAGAAGTGGTGGCCAAAAGGGGCTCCTTGGTTTTCTCTTCTGGGGTTTGGTTTTCTTCAATCACAACCCATTCTGAGTTGCCAGTGAGTGGGTCGAGTTTGAGCTGGAACATCCGCTGAGCTGAATCAGAACTCATGTTTCTGACTGCTCTAGACTTGAATTGAAAGGAGGAGGGATTTTTAAGAATGGTAAAGAGGCTGCAGAGGGAAAGCAGGCGATTGGGGAGCAGTCGGGGCTCAAGGAAGAGGGAAAGCATCAAGTTTGGGTGGGGGGTCGGGGCCGCTTAGGATACGGTGTTATGGATTATTTTTAGGATGAATGGGCTTTTAACCAAACTCTTCTCTTTCCTACGAACAAACAGTATAGGACAAGCGGACAACGTCCAAAGAAACGGAACGTCGACTAAAAATCCATATTTTATTGGCTCAAAAACGTGAGAGAAGTTCTTGAAAGGCCAAGGGCGAGGCTGGCGGAAATGATGCGAGCTCCATCATCAGCATCTTCCTGCATCTTCTGCCAGATTGCCCGTTCTTCCACCTCCACTGTTCTCCTCCACTCTGTACATTCCTTCTGCCGCTCTCTCTTTCTTCCCCTATTACTATTGCAATTGAATAGGCAGAACCTACGAGGGAATGGCTGTAAAGTTTTGTAATTTTTATGTTCTTGAATGTGTTGACTTTACAGGATGAAAAGGTGGTTGTTTTTCAGGACATCAACCCTTCTGCATTCAGGTCCCAAATCTTCATAATTTGAATTGCTACCTCATTTCGTTTCTGATTTCAACATGTTCTCTGTCTAGATATTGTTCCATATGTGAGTAGATATACTCTGATTGTGATTGATTCTCTTCAGTGTCGTGTTTTGCTGGTCAGTTTATCCGTTTACTCAGACTGGGTTGATTGTAGCTGCTGCTTATTTTCCTGTTCACGTGTTTGAGTTTATAGAATTGTCAATCCTTTGGAAATATCAGTTCCGCTTGCCTAAATTGCTGCAAATTCCCTTGTACTTTGATTGCTTTCATTCATAAGAATTCAGTATCGTGAATCTGCTGATCAATCTATTAGCTGACTGTAACCCCGGCAAGAGTTCTTATATACTTGTTTGTGATTAATTGTGATTTGGATCTTGTCAGTGAGCTAAAGGATGAAAGGGCACCAATTGAACATTACACACATTATCCTTCAAGTTTTAGCAATTCGCTTAAACGTGTTGATCTCACGTTTTGGTTCTCAAACATGTGATATACTACCATTTATATGTAGTGTTTAAAGGGCAAAGACATTCATTCCACTTCCAGTTAAATAGCTTCATTTGATATACATTTTGCATACTTGGGATCTGGGAACTCCCAATGGTAATAATTTATGATGATTATCCGATATATTTTAATAGGCATTACCTGGTAATTCCAATAGAGCACATTCCAACAGTGAGGAACCTTCAGAGGAGAGATGAAGACTTTGCATTAGGTAAGAAAAGTTTATTTAGCTATGAAAAGCTGATTACTTCAGGTATATAGAAAATGGCTTTTTCTTTTGTACTTGTTGTGAATGATCTTCTACTTTTTCTTTTACAGTGAGTCACATGTTAGATGTGGGACAAACTCTGTTGCGCAAGGATGCACCTAATTCCAAGCATTTCAGGTAGTAGTATCTTTAGACATGCACAAGGTTTACTTAATTCTTGATGCCTTTTTACATTTGAATAGGCCAGAGAACTATACTCGAGGAGCAAACTGAAGTTGAATTCAGGATTCTGGTTCTAAACAGTAGTGTGTTCAGTGGTTTTTTTCATGGTTTTCATGATAAATATACTAGGTTTTAGCAGCTCTGTGCATAAAATTAAGTCAGGCGCTCCGACGGCATCCACTGTAACTTCTTTGACAGCCCAAACCACCCCCCACATCTCCTACAAATTAAAAGTGTAGAAGAGAATGAGAATGAAAAACTACCTATTCCATGGAGTGACAAGATGCATTTAGATGCCTTTTATGTGCATTCTTTCCATCAAGCTGGAGTGACCATTAATCTTCTCAATTTCTCCTTGTACCACTTTCCTTCCAGTATTTATGAATAGCTTGAAAGCTAGTGAAATCGTCATCCCCATTTGAAGAAGGAAAAACAGCAAACGCAATGGTTCAACAGAAAAAGTTCCCTGTAGTATTCCAAAAAAATTACTTATGAAGCCTGAGGTTCTAGCATTTTTCATTAGCTAAATGTTCTCTCTGGAGCTTAAAAACTCGGTTATGAGCTCTCACAAATTTTGATCTGCTGACTCTGTTCTGTTATGAGGGTGGTGTAAACAAAAAATAATGGTTTAAACTATGTGAAATTTTATTTCTTCATTTGAGAAGTTTACGGTCAACTACTTCCTATGAGAATATAAAAATGGTAGCAAGAATAGAATTTGGCCAGACTACTCGTCAAATTTTAGTATTCTGTAGATAATGCTTTGCATACTTTCAGTAATAGCTGGATTGTGTAACTAGTTTTCTTTCATTTAATATTTGGCATGAAAAATTGAATAATTGTTCTGTTTATGGTTCACCTTTTACCATTACCATACAAGCACAGTCTGCAGAACAGTCTTTTGTATACTTTACCATCTTGGAAGTGCAGTGCCTTTTACATATCTTTTGTTCTTACCAAACACATTTTACACATTCTTTAATATGATCTCAGTGGTGGATATCATATTCACATGTTAGGAGGAGTGGCATGATTTTTTATGAGCAATAGATCAGTGGAATGGTCAAGTACAATTAATTTCTCTCTTTTCTTCTTTAATTTCATGGGAGGTAAGATGGAGACTTTGCAAAGGAATAGAAGTTGCCAAGTCAACAGTTAGTTGACTAAGTAATAGCATAGGTTTTAGTTACATACTTTTGGTTGTAAATTTAACTTTGTTGACTGGGTTTAGATGGAATTGCACTTTACAAGTTCATTTAATGAATATCAGTATAATTCTTTCATAGTGCGACTTTGATGGCTGTCTGAATAGATTGTAGGTTCACCTCCAGATATCTACTGGGGAAAAGAAATGCTGAACTATATTTCTTTTGTTTGTTTCCATGTATGACTATGAACAGATTTGGTTTTCATCAACCTCCTTTTAACAGTGTTGATCATCTCCACCTTCATTGTTTAGCACTTCCTTTTATTCCAAGGTTTGTTTCCCCTTGTGCCATTAGCTTGGATAGCTTTTTTTTTTTTTAATTTGAGAAGATCTCAACTTCTGCAAGAAATCACAAATGCATCTTCTAATTTCACGGATTTGAAACAGTTGGAAATCCATAAAATACTTATCTCTTGGACCACTTGGTGGATTTATCGAAGCTGAAAAGTTGTTGGAGAAATTAAAGCCATTGTCTCCTCTTACCTCATAAACGTAGTCCATCTTCAACTCTTTCTGGCTTGTTCCACGGTAATCCATTTGCTTTGCCAAATGTAATATGACTATAGCAAAGTTACCTAGGACCCTTACTGCACAGTATTGTATTTGTCAAGCTTCCAACTGAAAGGAAGATAAAGCGTAAATAGTGATGAGGAATTGAGGATCAGGCAATCTTGTACAAGTGCTGATCTGGATGGCGTTGCTTCGTTCAGGCTATGTTGATGATTTGTAATCTTTGTTTTGTTAATCAGTTGATCAAGTAAGCTATGCAATTGCACTGGCATGATCTTTTCACAGTATCTTACATAATTGAAATTTTGTTTCATGTGATCTGATCGTGGAAGTTTATGAATGCAAGACGTTGTACCATGGAAGTTTACTTGTCGTGAGCAAATTCTGGTGCCAATGCCAAATGAATTTTTATTTGCTCAACTAGGTTAGTTTCTGTCTCTGATCAATCTATTGCTGGAAAGTTAATTTTGAATTTCAGGTGATTAGGCTATGGAATAGTGTCCGAATGTAACTAGCATAATAGCCACAAGTTAAACATGCTTTGTTTATATGACAACTTACTCGGTTCTTACTTACCCCAAAAAACAAAAAAATTACTCGGTTCTTTAAAGACATCAGACATTTCTATGGGTCAAGAGGATCTGGTTGATATGATATCCATTTAGTAACGTGAGACATCGTCTAAATTAGCAACATGTGGATAAAGGGTTGCGTAACTTGCCTCCTAATGGATGGATGAATAGGGACTATACCGTTTTCTGGATTACAATAGCTCCAGAAGTGAAGCAGTTTCGCACCCGATGCTTAAAACCTAGGTGTAACATAACAAAGAAGCATGAGAAAATCCTTTAAGAGCCTTGCATTGGAATCAGAAAATGGCGATGACTGATCATAATCCTTTTAACATCTTGATGCCAATGTAGTTTCGCATCTGTGCTAAGAATTTTGCTTGAAATTTGTATGGCATAGGGAAGATAGGTAGAAATTTCCTAATTTTGTTGGTTGAATGCTCTTAATTTCTGGTGCAGAATTCTTCCAACTGATTGGTGACATTACCCGTAATCCTAACATTTTATGAACAGGAAGCGACTGTTCCAAGTTCATGGTTCTGTTTCATAGTCTACAGCTTAGACATAGCCGTGACAAAACTATCATTTCAAGCATGTAAAGCCAACAGCATTTAGACACTAATTTAGACACTGGTTCTGGCCCTCCACACAACAAAGAGAAAAAGGAAAATTACATTTAGCTGCCTCCTAAATTTAGCTCGTCAACCTCAAAACCATTAGTTTTTGGTGCTTTCTAGCTGGAACATCATCATGTGTGACTGATCCATGTCCTTAACTCTCCAAAAATTAGGGAGTTAATCTGGGGTGTGTGTGTTTTAAGCTGTAAAGTGTAGACTACAGAAATAGAAGCCATGTTTACGACCTTATGCACTGTTCAGCAATTCCTGGAACTCTTTACTTTTCTCACCACTTTGCTTTACGAAACTTTGGTACTATGATATATGCGGAGTATCTGATGTAACAGACTGGTCCCTGATTCATGAATGTCTTAAGGGATTAGTTGTCATTTCTATCATGACCTCTTGTACAGTTTAATGGTTGGTAAGATTCATAGGCTTTGGTGTTGTGGCCAAAAGTATGAGACAGAACATACAGTACAACTGCTTCTGTGAATGAAAGAGATTTTGTTTTAATAAGAGAAATGGATACCTTAAGCATCTTGTATGAAAAGCTTACACATTTAACTAAAGATTTTCTTCACCAACTCCCTTCCACTTCATAAAAAAGAAAAATAGATCAGTTTTATATGCTAAGCATCCATACCAAAAGCACAGCAGAGGAGAGAGTCCTAAGTCTATCAAAATAATCCTAGCCCATGTC